AATTCTGATCTTATGGGAAGGACATGTGGGAAAGACATTATGGTAACCACAAAGGCAAAGCATAATTAGATTGGGAAGAAAAATGAATGTTGCCATTCCTGTACTCCTGGGAGCTGTAACATTGGAAAAGGAAGCATAACTAAGGGGGCTGGCATGAGGAAGATAAAAAAAATAATTTAAGGCAAGGGAAGACAGAAAACAGCAGACACATGGCGGAGTGTGAACAGCTCAGATAAAGCTCTATTAAAATATGGGAACTCTGATGTAGAAGGAAGCAGCAGAAAGAACAGTCAAGGCAACCTCATAGGTTGGATGGGAAATTAGAGGACAAGTGGGCAGGAGGGCATTATTTCAGAAATCAAAGAAAAGAGAAACTAGGATCAGATTCCAGCTACCTTTGCCTTTCCAAGATTGTTCCGACAGAGATTTAGATAGAGAGCACTTTTGAAAGAGTAACTCATCGCCACATCTGTCATAATGCAGCCCACAACGAATATTTGGCTTAAATATTTTGCAGGACTCAATATTGACAGGAGTCGAAGACATGGCCAAAAGGAATGCCAGCAAATTGGGCTCCAATTTGGTTGTTCCAGACTTTGGTCAAAACCTTTCTTGCCTAAGAAGGTGTTAAGTGAATCACTGCAGCTGTTGAATTAGTAACACGGCTGTTAAATGAATCTGACTTTGCCATTGACTTTGCTTGTAAAAAGATGGCAAAAGGAGATCACAAGATCCCAGGGGCAGGGCAACCATCATAAATAAGAGTCAGTTGCCAAGCATCTGAATTTTGATCAAATGTAAGTGTAAAAAAAACAGCCGTCAGTCACTTTTTTCCAAGTGCTGTTGTAACTTCAAACAGTCACTAAATGAACCGTTGTAAGTCAAGGACTACCTGTACTGATTTCACACTCATTCTGCAGCAAATGCTTTTTTGTCTTTTGCAGAGGGAATGCTCTGGGAAGGAAGTTCTTCACTGACCAAGCAGCTGCTGAATCAGGCTGCTCTGTCCCGCATGTCCAGCTGTTTTCTATGAGCAGGAGGCATAGGAACGTTTGGCTCTTTCTCTACGGAAAACTTGAAGAATGACAGAGGCGGAGAAGGGAAAACTGATGCATCCTGAAAGTCCACAGGATCTCATTCTTCCCCTCATTTCAAGACCAGATATCATCAGTGGCAAGGATAGAACCAAAGCTATCACTCTTCTTTGGAAAGAAACTAATCTCTTCTAACAGACTCCCCCAGTTTCAAACCGTATGCTGAAAAGATTACAGCCAAAGTAAAATTAGCACCGTCTCCCCGCCCCCCTGTCATTTGCAAATCAGACAGCAACACCTCCTGGCAGATAAAGATCTATACAGCCAGACCAAAGTCTCCTTGCCTCAGTCCAGAGGGCTGTGCACAGAGGCCAGGGCACATGTCATTACGCTCAAGGTCTCATATTACCAGGACAGCCACAGTCGGAGTCCAGAGATTAGGAACCAAGGTCATATGCTAAACTGACTCTTGTCATTTACCATGTGCTAACAGGACGATCCTAAAGAAATTGTGTCTACTTGGTCACACAAAGGATCTGAAATGATTGAGCAGTAACAGGATTATCAGGAAAGAAAAGTCAATGACTGGGTTAACTGAATGGTTAGTAGTAAGTAATTCAAAATTTAGTAAAGTTAACTTGCTAGATTTTTTTTCCTTTGTAATTGCTGGTTCAGAGGTAAGCTTACATCCCTATCAAAATCCTGATAGGTTAAGCCAGGGGTTCTCAACCTTGACAATTTTAAGGCATGTGGACTTCAACTCCCAGAATTCCACAGCAATGCTGGCTGTGGAATTCTGGGAGTTGAAGTCCACATGCCTTAAAATTGTCAAGGTTGAGAAACACTGGGTTAAGCAGCATAGTACTTAACATTAGCAAATCAGCCCTAGAATCAAATTTGTATTTAGCAGCATTTACATATATTGTACACAAAGTTTTCAATTGGCAGGTGCAATAAAAAGATTCTGCAGAAACAATCTTCAGATTTTGCTGTGACTTTAGTTGTGCTTTCAATTATGCAGAGCACGATCAAACTTTGACCAAGAAAAACTACCAAAAGGTTTACTCCAGTTTCTAAATTTTAACAGGTATAGTCTTTTATTTTCAGCCTTAAAAAAGAAGCTCAGAGAAAAACAAGTACAGGACAGGGACTGCACTATGAACTATAATTGTCCTATGGCACAGCCAAGGCCATTCACGTATGCATTTTCTGTTGATGCATACATACACACATACCTACATTTTCCAACAAATAATTCTGGATTTTAATTCTATATAGCTCAATCAGATGGTGAAGAAAATCCTGCCACGGTACAGGTACACACACTCGTAACCGCGCCAAGCTTGAAGTCACCTCTATAACCTCGTCTACCAATGCTTGTGGAAAGCTTGCCGCTTGTGGCTTACCTCCCAGTACTTGGTCCGGCTAATTCCTTCAGAGTAGGCGCGGGCAAAAGTGCTCTCGCTGTTGAGAGCTGTGACAGCAGCACTGAGCTGTGACATGGGATGAAGATTGGTGGGGAAGTTGTCAAGCATAGTCACTACATGGGAAGGCAGGGCCGCTCTCTTCGCCCACTCTCGAGACACCCAAGTCACCTAGGAAAAGAAAACCACAACGTTACACATCTATACCTAGGGGGGAAAGTGCTATCCCAACACCAACGCCCTTGGTCTTGGCTGTTCTCGTCATTACTATAGAGCTCTTACTGTTTTCTCCAGCAGTTCTCTAGACACAAAAAAAGGTTGCACAATCACTTTGCAGGTCACTTAAGTGGGATGAACGTGACAGCCTGCCAGCAATGTTTGCCATGTCTTATTACCTGTTCTTGGGAAGGAACTTCTCCTGTCACCAGTAACCAAAAGAGACCTTCGGGAAGGGGCTCCGCACCTCCAGGGGCTTTGGGTAGCAGCTTCTGGCACTCGGGAATGCTGTAGCCACGGAAACGAATGCCCTAAAAACCAATCCAGGAAACAGGATAAGAAACCACATTTCAACTGAGAGGCTAAGAGCTAACTGCAAAAGTAATGGCGCCCATTCTGCCCTCCTTACCTCATCAGGATCCAAGACAGAGGTCTCGTATATTAGCCCTTTCATACTCCTCATGCCACCGTAGAGCTGGAGAAGAAAGAGAGTTACTTAAAACAAGGAGAAAGCGGCGTTGTTCTTACCTGAACGCCTTTTCTCAGCAGAGTGGTGTAGAGTCCACAGGATGGGTTATTGATGCAATCCTGCTTAGCAGAAACTAAGACAAGAAAAAACTCTTGCCACGCCTCCCTCTGGGCGTGCCTTCCCCAGTTTTTGGCACATGTCGAGGCGCAAAAGGCAGACGCAAAGCTCCAAACGA